TTTATCCAAGGTGGGTGAGAGAGGAATACATCTTGCAAACAGTCAATGTCGGGACACTGGTCTGGGTGACCTGGATCCCCACAATGACGCCAAACACCTTACTAACTAGTCTCTTGTCTAGCGACCCCTCAGAGGGCCACACCCCCATCCCAAACGAAGGTCAGTTTACTTCACAGAGGGTCTGAAGCTTTCTGGGAGTTAATACCATAATTCTCTGAATATCCCTTTTTGAAATTCCTTACCATGCATTCTAAAGGGGTAAGCTTACTCTGATCGCCACCCATTTCCTCCTACTAAAAGATGACAATCACACACAAGGCGGGAAGGAATGGGGGCGTGGATAAGAGGATTGGATAGCTGCTTTGTCCTTTTCCAGCCATACCCTTCGGGGGGATATTTCAGGTATCTTCTGGCAGTAGGTGAGTTGGTATAACACACCCCCCCCACCACCAGGTTTCGACCCAGGGTGCTGTCCTCCTACTACAGGAGATATTTCAGGGCCTTCTTGGCAATAGGCGAGTCGGTATAACCCCCCCGACCAGGTTTCGGTCCCACTACAGGACTTACTCCCACTGTTTAGCCAATACGAAGGTCACCACTGGTCCCCGAATCTACTCCCGCTGTTTAGCCCTTTGAAGGTCACCACCGGAGCCCAATCAGGGCTACAGCACTTGCTTCGCCACCAGGTGGCGTCTGGTTCACTCACCTTCACACACCGTCTCCAAACCGCCACCCAGTGCCTTAGAGTTATGGTGTCGTCCCCCTGTGGGACGACTCGGGCAACTCTGGGAGGTGATCAAGCTCCCCTTCTGCCTCTTAGGGGCAAGTCTACCAAATTGAACCCGGTGCTTACTCATCCGATGGGCGTGGCTCCCTGGACTGGTTCCTGAGCCTTACCGGGTTCTGTTGTGCTCCCAAGGTCCTTACTCCAGCACGCCGGGAGTGCTAGTCTCCGACGGATCAAACAGTCCACTGGCACCAGGTGGGGTCACCTCTCCTGGCGTCCTGGGGGTCGTATCCCGGCGACAAGGAAGGTGGAAACAACGTCTCTGCCTCTCGTTGCTCAGCCAACACACCAGAAATGTAGCAGGAATCTTTACACAGAGAGATGGGACACCAAGGCCACTTTGCCAGGAAACAGCGTTTATTCGTGCTGGCACCGGCTGAGCGGATTCGCATCCAAAGGTTGAGCCCCAAGCATAGGGGCCATTGCCTTTTATACAATTTTAGCTTCCTTGTTCTTCCACTAAGGCGTACATATTAGTAACATACTGGCTAATTGGGTATTTCATAGCTCAAGGTTACAGCAGAGTTGCACTTGCGCTACAGTTTGGGGCCACATATCTTTCTAATATGTATCATCCAGGAAAGTTCTTATCTTATGGTGCTAAAAGAACTCTTTTATTATCCTGGGAAGGCTATTATCCTACTGTACTAAGAGGGGGCCCCTACTCTGTTCTGAGAAGGCCTTCATCTTATGAGCCTTGGGGGAAGGGCTCCCTGCCGCAATTCCAGCACTTTAGGAGGCAGAGGCAAGAGGATTGCCTGAGCCCAGGGGTTTGAGACCAGCCTGGGCAACTTGGCAAGACCTCATCTCTACAGTAAATCAAAAAATTAGCCAGTTGTGGTGGCATGCGCCTGTAGTTCCAGCTACTTAATTGCCTGAGCCCAGCACGTCGAGGCTGCAGTGGCTGTGAGCATGCCACTGCCCTTCAGCCTGGGCAACAGAGTAAGGTACCAACTAAAAAAACCCCACAAAACTCTCTCTCTAACTGAGATTTAATTTCTACTTCAGAATTCAGCCAGAAACCTTCCTTCCGAGTCCTCCAGACTGGAGGATGCCTTCCCCTGGTTCTGGGGATGCCCCTGGTCTGGCTAAGTTATAATTCTGTCTCAGATAGCCTACTAGACTATGAGCTCCTTGAAGGCCAAGACCTCGACTTTTATCTCTGCATTCCCAGTACCAAGCATAATGCCTGGAACAGAGAATATGCTCTGGCCAGTATATGTGCTGAATGGATAAAAGCCCAGGCATTAAAAGTGTGTCTGGGTGTTGATTAGCTAGAGACTTCGGTGCTTGGCATTGGTGTGCTCTTCACAACTCAGGCCATGCACAGACTCTTACATACACACTCTCATCTGCACATAAGTGTGTAGACGCTGGCACTCTGACTACAGGTCCCTGCAGCACAAACCCTACGACACCCGCATATGTTTACTCGTGTGCACTGATGCACATCAGTGCACTCATAAGAAGAGGTTAACTCAGGACTGTCACCTACTTTGTTCCCCAAAGAGTATCTCTGTGCTTTGTGTGGTCAGTGGTGTTCATGTCAGTCTTCAGCTCCAGCCTCAGTGGGAGTTTGGAAGACTTGGGTCACGATAGTCTAGATGAGTCTAGAGAAGACAGGAGGAAGAGTCTGGGTACTTTCATTACCTGGGCTGGAGTTTGGCACTGTGTGCTGCAGTGTTCTCTGGCCAGCTCATGCACACTGAGGGGGTTGTTTGACTCCTAAAAATTCATATGGCTTGCAGCTGCCTGGCTTGGTTTACCCATTGGGTCATTCTGGAAGTTCCTGCTAGATCTGGCTTCTACTGCATACCAACAGTTGTATGAAAAGGTAGTTTGGAAGAATAGAGGAAAAAATTAAAATACTGACTTAGATTCTAGTTCCTGCTCCACCACTTTTGACTGAGTACTGTATGCAAGAAGTTTAACCTTTGTGTGCCTGGGCTTTTCTCAGTGGTTCTAGCAGTTAGCCTACTGTACTGGCCAGGCTAGGCAGTAACCACCTACCCCCTAAATCTTAGGTACTGTTCAACCAGATGGGGATGAAGTTGTTCCCATAGGTGAAAGACCCCTACATCACCCTCAAAGACAGACATGGGGACTCTTCCTTGCATTCCATGTGTCTGCTTCCACTGTGTCTCAATGGCCACTTGTGAGTGACAGACTGTTATCTCTCTGGGCTGGGTCATTGTGACCTCCTAGTGGGGACCCTCATATATGATGATGTAATGATAGTATGTCCCTGCAAGGTGCACGTCCCAAGCTGTTGGGTGTGGTCCCTGGAGAAGAAGCCTTCACAGTGCTCTTAGCCCAGCACATCTAAGCACTGACCCCAGTTGTACAGCTGGGCAGGGAGAGCCCTCCTGGGCAATGAGCTGGGGTGAGGCTTTTCCCTATACCCTCCCATGATCTTCTACCTTGGAGATTTCACCCTTCTCAGGTACATTTAGAATATTCCCTGTCATCCTTTGAGAGACTCTGTGGAGCAGATAAGTAAGAAATGTATGGATACAGTGTTGTGAGGTCGGGGAGTGAGAAATAACTAGGGACGTAGGGTAGGAAGGTGAAGAAGGTGGTGGAGGAGGAGGTCAGGTGGGCCTGTGTGGTGTGTGTATTGTATTCTTCTAGATTTGGCTCTGATCACTCTGTGGATGAACTTCAGGCTGTCTGCAAATCCCCTGAAACTATGTTTAAAATGTTGAGTGTCAGTGTGTGCATTTTCTTGGGAAAAGGATTCATGTCTTTCTCCAGATTTTAAAAGGGACCTGTGACCACCAAGAGTGAAGAAAGCCACTTTCTAAAGTAGGACTGAGTTTACCTCGTTCTCAGGACCTAGCCTGTGCCCTGTGCATCAAAGTGACTGAAAAAATATCCGCTAAAATTTTTTTGAAATGCGGTTAGAAATCTAATCTTTTAAAAAGCATTTATATTGTGAAATATAGCATGTTTACAAAAGTGCACATAGTATATATACAGCCTAATGGATTTTTGTAGGAAAAAAAAGAAGCAACTTATAACTAGCTCTCATTCAAAAATTAGAAGCCCTGCCCCACCTTGTGGGTCCCTTCCCCATCCCAACTTTCTTTTTCTTTCTTTGAAGTAACCACACTCCCTACTTTCATGATAACAATTCTTGTGCATTTTAACATGATTTTAGCAAGTTAGTATGGTTTTGCATGTTTTTTATTTTTTTATTTTTTATTTATTTTTTGAGTTGGAGTCTCACTCTGTTGCCCAGACTGGAGTGCAGTGTCCGCTCCCAT